GCACTAGCTGGTATAAAGATGTCAAAAAACTTGAGGATGTTGTAAATCGTGATCGGAAAAAAAGATGTATATGTCAAGATAACGGGATTTTCCTACTTGAGGTATGGTATAATGAAAAGCCAGAAATAGTTATTCCTGAAAGGATTCAAAAAATTAAGGAGTTCATTAATCAAGCGTTTAAAATTTTCGACCTATAATCAATAATTTATAATATATACACTATTGCAGATAAGTGTTTAATATATGTTTAATTTATAAGATATAATTTTTTTTGCTACTTTATCTATTAGCATCTGTTAACTTTATTATACAACACAAAGAATATCAAATCCTTTCGTAGAGAAGACAACAAACACGGGAAAGGATTGTGCGAAAAACTGGATTGTTTTAAGGTATGTTTGGTATTACATTAGGAGTATTTCATACACGTGATGCATTTTTAGGCTGTTCGTACAATTATACTGTTTTTTCGACGATAATTAACAATTCATGTTTTAATAGATTTCTTCGAACCATATTTCATATGGCTTAGATATACACGTTAAAAATAGGAGCAATTCGGACAAAACTTTATTTTAGTATGCTAAATTATTAAGAGTTTCTGTATCATTAGACCAAGAGTACATTGCATATACTATTTATTACATCTAGAATGTAACTTATCACATTTATCTTTTTTTACTTTTTCTGGAGTAGTCGTGGGTTTAGCGAGTTGCACAGTTCTGGGTGGAGTAGTAGGGCGCGAAAGGGGTTGAGTAATTTCTTGTAAAAACGTTTCATTCTCGGGTTCATTTTTTAACACTTCGATGCAACGTTTAATTCGTAACTTGGCCTGAAAAATATTTGTGATCAAAATGATAAGCTCCATTACGTCATCAAGATGCAAGGGAATATTTCTTGTATCATCTTTTCTGAGGCGTAAACAGGAACCGCCCCATAGTCCATTAAAAGCTGTTGCAATTGGAGTCGTGAATGCAGTAACCCGACTATCTCGATTTTCTTGACTACATCTTCATTACGTTTTGCCAAACTTGTTTGCTGATGAAATATGTCCTTCAAAAGTTTCGAGAGTTTTAAAGAATCCCCAAATGTTTTCTATCGTGTGGCCCTTGACACGTTTTTGCGACCTCGATTCCCCCGTACTCGTGACTATTAACTGTATTTTGAAAAATGCCATCGATCTTATGTCCCAACGCCTTCCTTTGCCCTTTGATCCGATATATCCCATCATCGTTCACTCTGTTGCTTGATGCAATGCTACATTTCTCACCACGAACAAGTTCTACATTGGGAATGTTTAAGAATGCTTTATCGATTAATATACTCCAAATATTGGTTGCATACCATCCCTCTGTATGTGGTTGCATCAATCGGTTCTTTGGTGATTCATATTCATCCAACAAATAAGTAAAAACCAAGTGTACGTATTGGTAATTGAAATGTTGTTCTGGGTTATATGTTGTCGCTAGTCAAGGGTTCATGACATGTGCTCGCATTTCAGAAGTGGTTTTCTTTTTATACTTAAGCAAATGTTCCACCAAATTCTTGTCAATACTTGGTACTGCTTTTTTATTGGCGTTCATGATTTCCTCCCATTCTTCTTTGGTAAACAGATTCTTAATGTCATCATCAGATGTATCGACGATAAACGAATGGGCCGGTTGCTCATATTCCAATTTTGACGCGTACACGTAAAGTACGTCTTCGACATTTCTTCCTGAAGACAAACACCATTTTCTATCCTCCATAATGTTTTTATATGATTTTTCATGAGATGGCCAACGTGACAGTTCTTTACTGGAAGTGCTGATACTGGGTACAATAATGTAGACGCCCCAAGTTGTTCATCATTCTTATTTTCTAATTTTGTATCACTTGAATCGCTGATAGATTCTGTTTGGCTCTTTAGATCAATTGAGATATTTTTCGTTGTTTTTTCAGATGAATCAGAGGATGACTTCTGTGTCAAAGCTACTAATACCGCATCATAAAGAGGTTAACTCATAATTCAACATATAACGTAAATGAGTTTGATTATATTACCTGGTTCTATAGTTTCTTGTGTAGTATTGGATAACTCTGTAGGGCCATTTAAATGGGGTTTAACAACAGATCGTCTTTTTATCTGAATTGAAAAAAATGTCAGTCACGTTGGTATTCCTCAACTCCAGCTGTTGTTTATTTTCGCTTACTTACTCTTCTCTTTTCAATATAATTGGAATCTGACCAATTTGACTCCTCGGAACTTTCTTCGTAAGATATGGGATCTCTTTTTCTGAGAACCATTCTTGTTGCGGAAGACGATTCAGCAGATGAAATATTAGTTATACATCTCTTCTTAGTGGCATTTGACGTTATTAAATCCCCATTGTTCTGAGAATTTCCGTAGAAATTAACTGAGGTTTCACGAGATACTTTTTGTTGATCTCTTTCCAACTCTTTGCAACTTGAAGGTCAGGTCGAGAACCCTAGCAAGGAATAATGGAAGAATTAATAATCTTGATTACCACATTTCTGAAGTTTCTATTTGATTTCTATCCCATCAGGTCGACTAATTGACTTGAACATGGGCAAACTAATTGATTGTCTATGCCCCAATGGGACCAACGCTGGGTCGACTAATTGACTTTAACATCAGGAAAACTAGTTGATTTCCTGTGCCCCAACGCTGGTTTTGTGACTCGACTAATTGACTTGAATGACAAAGAAACTAGTTGATTCCTTGCCACGCCACTTATCTATGTTTCCAGTATGCTTCCAAGAAATATTTTTACTTGCCTTTCGGTATCTGTCAAGAAGAAGTTGCGCTTTTTCCTTCCTCTTTCCCTCTTTCTCATACTTAACAATGTTTTCAAGGCCTCTTAGATATAGATCTATTTTTTGTTGAAAGGATTCTTCTTCGCTTTCATTCAAAAATCCTTTAAGGCTCCATTCGGCCGAATTTCTTTTAAAATACTTGTGTACTTTTTTGCTAGACATTTTTTGATTTCTAAGGGATCGGGTGAAAGTAAAATTTTTATTTTTAATGATTTTCCACGCATGCATATAAATATTCTATAATATTCGAATTTGTTCTACAGTACATTATATCAATATGCCGTGTCTGTAATTATGATCACATGTGGCTATGCATGCGGATTTATACTAAATCGTGGATAATATTTTTTCTGCGTATATAGATGTCTAAAAAATTAAGATCAGGTGCTACACGCTTATCACCCGAAGCGATTAGTGATATAATTACGGCTAAAGGTACAGCAAATGCATTACCGATTCTGGCTAAAAAATATAATATATCATATGCCCGAATTCGTGGAATATGGGAATTCGCTA